GCAAGACACAAATTGAGAAACTTGTGGCGAAAATTTAAATACACTATCGGAAAAAATTGGATGTCACATCGAAAGGAAGTCAGAAAATTTCGGAAATCGGTAGTAAATTTCCAGAACTAGCCATTTCCAGGGAAAGCCAGGAAAAACAAAACAAACCTTTGGCTTATGGTCAAACTTCCAGAAGAAGACGAAAGAAATTTCTGGGAGAATTAATTGAACTTCCTGGAGAATACGAAAGAAACTTCGTGGAGACGCTGGCAGAAACATCCTAAGTTAGATTGGAAGAAACATCTGATGAAAGTTGGAAGCCAGAGCGCTTACGGAAAAGTTGAAAGAAGCAATGACATAATTCATAAAACATCCCTGAAGACTCCGCAATTTCGCTGAAGTTTTCGGAACATTTCTGAAATGCACTTAGGAATATTGCATAATTCCTAGAAATTCCTTAAAAGTTCTTGTAATTTTCTTAAAATTAGGGGTTGTTTTGGAGTTCTCTGGTCATCCTCGAAGCGCTCGGAATTTTTCTGATTATAATGAGACTACCGCAATATCTCTAATCACCTTTGAAGGTCTCTGGACTATCTTGAAGCTTGCGAAATCTCTTAAGTACTCTCACAATTTTCTTTAATTTATTGTAACATCAGCATTGAAGTTCTCTGATCTTCCCGATTTTTTAATTTTTTAAAGTTATCGACTCTGGCATTAGTATAGAACTTCTCAAAATGTTCTCACAATGTTCTAATGTTCATGTAACTTTCGTTACGTTTCCGAAATTTGCATGATCCCCTCAGGACATTGCTGAAGTTTTCGGAAATTTCCTGAGTTTCTCGGAACTCCTTTATAATTTCAGCAATTTCATTGAAATTTTTTGATCTGTCCTGATGTTCTCTGAGCTTCACTTAAGTTCCTGAAGACCATTTAATTTCCCTGAAGTTCTTTGGACTTGTGAAGTATCCAAAATATGTATGATGTTTCCTTAAATTCACTAGAGCTCGCTGGACTTTTCTGAAATCTCCGGGTTTTGGAATTTTAACAGAAGTTAATAAAACTGTCTTTAATTTATCGAAACTTACACAAAAGCCTGGACTTTTCTGAAGTTTCAGAACTTCTTTAATGTTCCTGCAGCTAGTGTGAATCCACAGTAAAAATCTGACAGCATCCTTGAAGTTCCGGGAAAAATTGAAAAAACTGGCGGGAGAAGATGAAAGAATCATTCGAGCGAAGGCTGAAGAAGCTTCCAAGCATGCTTGGCATGCACAGTTGTACACACCAACTGCTTATTTGTTAATAACTTTTCACTCAGTTGTTGAAATTTAGTTTTCTTTCAAGTAATTGATAGATTAGGATGATAGTTTACTATAGACATGCAAAGAGTAGGTAATATTATCATTTGAATCAACACCAATGAATTTTTACACTTAAAGCCCGAGATGTGCAGCGAGCATTTCTCACTTCATTTTTGCAACGCAAAATCAAATACAGTTTATTACTATAATTAAAATCTCATTTTTTGTACATACCTATAAAAAGCTTAAACTCTATTCTATCGACTGCTTCAAACAGAACTATGTTTCGTCAACTCTGTGCAAAGATATTAGCAAATGAGCAATTCGTGAGCAAAACTGTGTATGCCAAGCATGCTTCCACGGTAAGCTGGAAGAAAATTCCAGGAAAAGTTGGATTAAATTTCAGGAAGTTTAAAAATGAATAAAAAGTTCCGGAAGTTAAATAATGTTTGAACAATATTTCTCGATTCCCCAGGAATTACTGGAAAGAGCCATCGACTATTTCTCGATTGATGGGTAGCCAAAAACGGTGAGGAAATGCAAACATTAGTCGAAGCATAAGGCATCTTTTGAGATGATTGTTTAGAATTTTGAAGGCTCAAGAAATGTGAATTCCTCAAAAGATTCCATTTTTTTTTTTTTTAAATCGGTATAAATTGGTATAAAATCTCAAAAATCGGTATTCTGAGGAACCTTATCTGTATATCGGCATCTAGTTCGGAAATCGGTATAAATACCGATAAAGCGGTATATCTGGCAACGCTGATGCGTACCTTGACTGGCTTTCCATAATCATATTGGAAAATTAATTGCTCCGGGTTATGTTGTTGTTATGGGTTTTAAATCAATAATGCTGATTTGCGGTTTCCGGATATAATGAATACTGAATAAGGTTTATATACAGTTTATTATTAATGCCTAATGGGAAGGCTGAACAAGTGGAATCGCTAGGGGCACTTCATTTATTTTTGAGAATAATAGATGAAAATAATTATATTATGCGTTCTTATACACACTAAGATTATTTTACCGAAATCTGTGAAATTTTACCGAAATCTCAACAGCTGAACGTTCGGTAAACAGTTCGGTGATTTTTCACAGATTTTCAGTGATTTTTCACAGATATTCGTTGACAAATTACAGGAAAACTGTGAAAAATCACCGAACTGTTTACCGAACGTTCAGCTGTTGAGATTTCGGTGAAATTTCACAGATTTCGGTCAGATAATCTTAGTGTGTACACTTTGTTTTGTTGTTTTTGAACTAAACTAATGAAAAAACGTATGATTCGATGGTTCACATCGAATTCATTGATATATTTGATGTTTATGCTCGATATGACGAAAATAGGCGCTTATGCCGAAATAGTCCCCTACCCTATACTAAACTAACTTAATTTAACTGAGTAAGAAAGCGTTGCGCCAGTGAATTCCAATTACAGATTTTCTTTAGCGCCAATCCGTCGATGCAATGGCTATCATGCGATATCCTTCAATTTCGTTGCACGCAAAATTCCATCTAGTAATTCAAAGCCACATGGCTGTTCTAAGCTAAACCCAGCCTAGTAAATCGCTATGGCACTCCAATCCATACGATGCTAGATCCCAAGCGTTTAGGCTTTGTAAGAACAAGAAGTGCAATGGCTTCCAATGCAATTGTTCCAAAGTGCGATGGTGGTCTCTACCCGAGCAGTAGAAAATAACTAATGATTGCCTAATTCTGATCTGATACCAAAATTTGGTGTTGATCAGCATGTCATAAGAGGTAAAATACCAAAGAATAGTACCAAAAAATTGCATGCACAATTCTTTGTAAATAACAAAAATTGATATTTGGGTATCAATTAAACGAAGGGAGATTTTACGCGATACTTAAAATTCAGAATTTTTTCTGCGTATGTCAGGCTCGTCAATTCCATATTGAGGTTACCAGTTATGCTATTTTCATACATGAATTTAGTAATAATAAGTTATTTTCTCCTGCTCAGGGAGTGTTGATAGCGATGGTGTTCCAAATCCATGGTCGAAACCAGCGTCAACCCAGTGTGGAAGGATTATTCCAGAGTGCGCATAAGGGCCGTCATCCGGCTCGAAGGACCAAAATGTAGATAAAATTCTCCTTCAACATCGGTTATATAATATCTAAACCCATTATATTTTGGCGAAACGCAGATTGCACTCCACACAAAATTGAAAATATTTCTCCCTGAAAAACAGTGTAATATCTAGCAAGTGAGTAAGGATGCTGCAGTCTCAACTCACGAGACTAAACACCAGCACCTGTCCTGATCTATTTTTATGTAGGGAGCCATCAGTATAACATAAAATGCTATCAGATATACTTCTTTCCAGATAACCAGAGGTTAACTCATCCCGAGAGGGGAATCGTGAAAGAAAAGTTCTATAAATTGTGATTCACATGATTTGCATCCCTTAAGTCAGTAGAAAAAGGCGCAGCTACAAAGCAAGACCATGCTGGAGGTGACTGGATTCGATTCCCGGTTCGGTCTAGAAAATGTTTGGATTGGAAAATTTCTCGACTTCCTTGGGCATAGAGTAAGATTGTACTTGCCACACAATTATACGAATGCTAAAATGGTACAGGCATCGAAAGCTCTCCATAAATCTTAATTAATAGATCACTTATATCTACACGCAATAAGCTTGAAATGCGAAGAAAATAAGAAGAAGAAGAAGAAGAATGATTTGCATCCTATAAGCCAAGTACCCATAATCGGTATGTACAAGGCAGTAGGAGTTGTAGAGAACGCTCCAGACAAAGTCCGTTGAAGATGGCTCAATTCCGTCTGAACCGTTCTTATCTCTCCTTTCTGTCACCACGTAAGACATCCGTAGGCCGCATCCGTTGGTCGTACAACAGTTGTGTTAATCGAGTTTATGTACTTAGTTTTTAGTCCCAGGTTTTCCCAACGGTTCTTCAGCACTAATCAAAGGTCATGCGTGTCGTTTTACTCTGAACTCAATGTTCGCTGTCCAGGAAAGCTTGGAGTCTAGGAGGACTCCCAAGTACTTAACTTAAATGGACAGTTTAAATCATCACAATTAAGTGAGGCTTCATATGAGAAAAACGGATACAATTCCAAAATAATGATGTACAACGACATGCACTGAGCAAACGATACGTACATTAAACGTAGCGATTATGACCCGAACAAATATAATGCCATTAAGGTTACTTTTATTCGTGGCGTAGCTCCAAGGTCCACGAAAATCTGAATGGAATACAAACTTTTAACAAACCCACTTCAAAGCAATCGCCAAATCATATCATCATTAAAAGTAGATAAATCAACCAAAAACTCCACCACGCATTTCATTTCATATTTATAGTCCTAGTCCATATGGTGTACCCGTTATTAGAGGATCTGCTACAGTTTCACAACCCTCATCCCGTAGGTCATCAAATTTCATTCAGCCTATTTAATGTGTGTCATTCATCCCCTAGACGACATGACGGCGACCCGCTGGGAGAACAAATTGAAAATGCACTTGACTCGTACCGGTTCTATGCTATTTCCGATGAAAGATATCCTTCCCTCGTCATTACTTCAACTTTTACATTTGGGTTTAAAATTTCCTGTCCCAACTTTTTTCACCGTCATCATCATCATCATCATCACAGATACTAATGCTAAGCGTTCTTTGCTTTTCGTTTCTCCCTACCCAAAAAAAATGCCACTCACTCATTCTTTAGCGGAAGGTGCTTTTAAAAAACTAAAACCCGAACCAAACAGTGGACTTTCGTCGGTGTCCGGTAGCATCTCGTCACCCGGAAGTGGTATCTCGTCCCTGCCTCAGCATGCCGGCCACACGCCTACCACGGCATCCTGTCCGACACCGGCACGAAGGCGGCATCGGACCACATTCACTCAGGTAAGGTCGACATCATCATTGCAGCACAGTAGGCTTCGATTTATCCTACATTTAAGCCTACTGTGCAACTGAAATGCCAAGTTACTCAAACTATGTTATGAGTAAAACGTTTCTTTCTACATTGCGTCGTCCATATCTGATTACAGGAACAGTTAGCAGAACTAGAAGCGGCCTTTGCAAAATCCCACTACCCCGATATCTACTGTAGAGAGGAATTAGCACGAACTACCAAACTAAACGAAGCAAGGATACAGGTTAGTACACATATCCACGCCCGCCTGCTGCGTATTCATACACACGTACGTCACTTCGGTGCACGTTTCTGTCAACACAGTAGCAGCTACATATAAAGCTGGTGAAGCGCCTACTATACGGCGACAGGAGCAGCAGCGAAATATGGCGAGTGAGATGGGAAAAAATACCATCATCCTGCGAATCATGTGCGGTTGGCTGAGCTTAATTTGGTATGCTAATTGACACAGCGCGACAATTGAAATTTCCATCGAAAGAACGGTGCCTCCTCGTGTCGTCGTGTACTCGCACAACAACAAAAAAGCCCGACACAAAACGGAAACAGCGCGACATCTATTATGCTAATTTTCTTCATCTCACCTGATTAATATTCACGATTGATATTCATGACGTTCTAGAATTTTGTTAAACAACGCTTAAGCCATCCTCTTGGTCGTTGTTCGTTCGATCCGTCAGTGTCGGATAAATCACTCAATTTCAACTTGGGAGCTTCTTTAAAAAACATCATCCTCTTTAATGGGAAGAACATGTCCTTCGGCACTTTTCAGGTCTCAATTAGCTAGCAGGCGCACGGAGTTGAGAGCCGTTCTTCACTCTCGAATACCAATTAGCTCCCCCTGGCTGTGTAGTAGGTATGGCGTGGCGAAAGGATGAAATCAGCACGGAGCGAAAATGTTGACAGTTGTCAGTTTGCTTTCTTGTGGCACCCTTCCTGGATGTAGGATTTTTATTTCACCACCAAAGATATCCTATTCGCGATAAAATTACACACCACACGTCATCGTTTCGGGCAATGGGATCTGTCCAAAACGAATGGAACAGAACCACCCATCATGATCCGTTTGATACGATCAAATGATGCTAATCCAAGTCTGTTAGGAACGCAACAAAACTCGGGGATTGACCATTGCACAGCGGTATCTTTCCGCAGTTTTCCACGCCACACAGGAGACGGTTTTCGTGCAACCCCTCTGCGCCCTATTACTTTCCACGTGGCGGTGCGCACTCAATTGGATAATCCTCAAGGGTCTCTTTTCAACGGTGGTAACATTTAGTGCATCAGGTGTGAACAATGCAATCAATAGTTCATTGGAATTGTATGCCCGCCACAGGACGCAGTTGACTTTGATCTCGAGCTAATAGAATTAGGGTCGATTGGTCGTCTCGTTCTCGTCACGCTCTCCGCGTACCAATCCAAGCAGCCTTGTGACACGTGTCAATATGCAGGAATTCTGTGTTTTGTTTGCAGTTGCTTCAATTGAAGTCAATGATTCGTTCCAAAAGTGTCCAACACTTTAATAATGTCCAAAATTGGCGCCACACCGTTTTATTTTCACATAACTGGTTCACAGTCAGTTTCTCACCAAACGAGTCCAAATTTTGGGAGGCTAATCAGGAACAGATTGAGAACCGCGGAGCAAAAATTTCAAATTTTGCATCAGGCTGGGTGTGCACTAGGTGGGTGACGTTGATTGGATTTGATTTTCCAAGTAGAACCTAATTCCCAAGCATGGGATGTCCCATTTCCAATGTTAAAGATTTTAATTGCAACCATAGTTTTAAGGGCAAAGATACTGTTCTGAATTCAGCTGACTTCAGATGCCAGGTTTTAAAAATAGCTTAGATCATATACAGGGTGATTTGGAATAACTGTTACTTTTAAAAATTGTCATAACGATTGATCGCTTGCATGATTTTTTTTATATCAGTATATTCCAGATATGTAATGGATGTAATGTCGGCCTAAATGCCCCTGATTTGGGCCCATACATAAATTTAGCAATGGACTAAATTTTCAATAGCGACCAAAAATATCCATTAGTACCGTCTCAATGACGCGTTCATCTATATAAAATTGATAAATAGTAGATTTTTAGCGATTAACCCAATCATAGATCCAGAGGCAAACATTAGAGCTATTTTCCTTATATAACTTTCAACTTAGCATACTTTAATTCAAATCTATCGCCCTTTAACTCCATCTACCAGCCACATTTGTCACGAAAATGAACCACAGCTTACACGCACGTTTTAGTTCCAGCACTTTTGGAATCCTGGCGATGTGTCTAAGCTTTGGTATTGAACACGCATGGTTCCTTTTTACATCTATAATGATGCGAAAAATAAAGTTTCTGAAAGATAACACACGAATTTATTCAGATTTATAACATGCTCAATTTTTACGTCCATGGCTGCTTGAAATCGAAAACGAATGAAATTTCACATCCTACTATCAATGCAAGCTGATATTTGTACACCCTTTAAAACAAAAATACTTGAATATACACCCGTTTTACCCATTGAGAATTGCATATTTGTGAAATCGGTGACAGTTATTCTGAATCATCCTGTAACTTAAAAACTACAAGGGACAGTCTTATGGGGTTGTACGCAATGGTGACTTAGGACTACGTGGTCTTATATAATAAATCTTATTTGTTAACTGCAGCAGGAGCTTGTGTTTTGTGTAGGAATAGGAATTTGAGCGGGGTTCTCTCTGTTTATACTCTTTAGTATGATACACTTGACATAGGCCCACATCAACTCTCGAAAAGCTACTGATTCCGATCAATAGCGGTGCAGCTTCTTCCTCTTTCTATGGATGCTCATGTGGGCTGCAGCTCGCTGCTTGCAGGCAGCCTTTCATTGTGTACTGGAGAACACCACCACTCACCATGCGGTGATTGAATAAACACCATTTGGTGAGACCGGATGGAATTCAACTTTGAAATCTGTGTTAGGGAAATCGCTTTTCACAGACAATCGGTGATAATTTTATTTTTCATAGCAAAAGTTGCACATTCGTGCAATTTTCAATAGTAAAATATTGAAAAATGACAAAGTCTTAAATTTAACAGATGCGTAGAAATATATTTGATCGATTGGGAAAAAATTATTGAAATTGGTCAGGGGCAGCTGAGTTATTACGTTCGAAATCTTTCATAATTTTGTTACATTGTCCATTTTCAGTTTTCCCAAAGTGTACCCCCATATAGAAATCACTCAAAATAAAAATCCTAAGTCAAAATAAAAATAAATGTTTACTGGAAAACTTTAAAGGCTCTGGGCTTGTAGGAATTTTGAAGGATTCTGGTTATTTAAATTATTTTCAAGAGAATTTTGATGATAATTTTAAACAGGAGAATTGAAAGGAAGCGGCGCCGGATGTGTAGTGATAGGGTTCTATACCAGTCGGCGTCGCCGGGATGTTCTGAGGCATAAAATGTCTGATCACGCCTTCCTTCGGAAAGGAAGTAAAGCCATTGGTCCCGGTTCATGAGTTGATGGGTCGATAAGTACGTCCGAGTGTGGGAGCTGCCTCCCTGACCGCAGTACGGAAAACAATATCGACGGAAAAAATCAAGGAAAAAAAAAGAATTTAAAGGTCTTTCAATAATAATTTCGTGGGAATTTTAATAGGATATTCTGGAGAAAATAAATCTGAGGGAATTCAGAGATAAATTCCAAGTAGTGTTAACATTTTCCGCTACCTGGGTATCGGGAAACAGTTGATGGCTCTTCCAGAGAATATCCGGAAATCTTGAAATACAACACATCCTCATCCCCATTATCCACGGATTTTGCGTACATATTCCCATCTATGAAAAAATCCAGAAAATCTTATAGTTATCCCATTAATTCGTTTTCTATTCCTATGCATCCCTATCAAAGTTTTTTACAAAATATACTGAGCACCCCTGTTTATCCTTCTGTCTAGTCCGATCTATCTTTTCACAGGGTGGCCAACAAACCGGGAAAACCGGTAATACCGGGAAATATCCGGGAATTTGAAAAGTTACCGGGAAAACCGGGAAAAATCCGGGAATTTGGCAAGAGAACCGGGAAAAATAAATTAATCATACCATAGGAACAAATGTTTACACCAGAATTTCAGAATAAACCATTAAAACAGAGTGATCCTTTACCAAATGAATGTCTTGCTCTATTTGGTGCATAATTTTCTTCAGTTTGCCGTCTTATTGTTTTTAGAATTTAATCACTCAGTAATATTGCAAATTGATTTTTGTCGTTTCAATTTCAGATGTAAAGTGCATAGTCCTTAAAATAAAATATTGATTGGATGGTTGGTTGTCTTTATTAAGGAGATTTTTAGTCAGACGCTGGTTAATCTCCGGTTAAAATAAAATATTGAAAATGCTGGACTTTGAAAACAATTTTTAAAAACTGAAACTGAATCATTCTTTTGCGGGGTTTTAATTTTTCGTTGTTCAATATTCTCATAATATGATTTCCAGAATAAACTTGGAATTCTGCTCTGAATTATCATGGAATTCTTCTGAAAAAAAAACCAGAAAACACTCCGCGTAATAATTACCGTTGAGTTCTTTTTGGAATTTCCTTGCAACCCCTTCTAAGAATTTAATTGGAATCCTAATCCAATTTCCTTGAACCTATTCGGAGACTTTGATTCCTTGGAAAATCTTTTCAAAAATTTCTTTAACTCTATTCAAAACAGCAGAAATCGTTCTAATTATCAGCAATTTTTTTGCAATCAAAATTTTGTTGGAATTCTGTGATGAATCTTTCGCACTAGGGTTGCAATTATTGCCAGAACACTCTTACACACTTAGTTTTTGCTACCGAGCTCGGCTGTGAAAATCTCGGCAAAAAAAGTTTTACTGCGATCTCAGCAAACATTTCATTTGTTTGCTGAGATTCATCTAAGCATTATCCGAGACTCAGTAAATGTCACTTTTGCTGAGATCTCATTGAAACTTATTTACGCCGAGATTTGCACAGCCGAGCTCGGTAGAAAAAACTAAGTGTGTAAGAGTGTTCTGGTAATAATTTGTGTAGAACTCTGTTTCTTGTTGAATTCTGATAATAATTCTCTTGGAATTCTTCTTAAAATTCATTTTCCTTATGATCCCCATACAAATCTCCTCAGAATCACGTAGGAATTTTTTCTTAAAGTTTTGTTTTTCACAAATTCTTTTGAAATCTTCTAAAATTACCTAAGAATTGTATCTAGAACTTGCAT